CACCAGTGGAAGGGCTGGCCTCAGACCAGAGCACAGGCAGTTCATATATGGTAGCAGGAGGGAAATCAGAGAATAATGCAGATAGGAGAGTAGACTAGAATATGTGGATGTTCTCTTCTGATTGCTTCTATTTTCTCAATGAACTAGCAAGTACGCTCACCAGCTGAAAGCGAGGACACAAAAGGAAGTGCTGGCAGTTTGAGGAGAGCTTGGAGGTGAACTGAGTTGTCTAGGATAGTGAGAGAGTGATTGGACTAGAGAAATGTAGTAAGGTTGTTGAGTACCCTTAAGATTATGGTCATGAAATTAAAGTGAAATCAATTCAGCATGATTGTGTATTTTTATGTAGTCACATTCTGTGGTTTGTGGTTGTAAGAGAGCTAGATTTAGCCAGGTTTGGGGTTTTGCTGATAGAATTCAATGGATGGGCAAAAGAGCAAGAGATATTCAGGTTATGCAAGGGGAAGAAAATAAAAATGTGAAGGAGGCAATGCTCAGTGAAAGTGTTAGAATATCAAGGCATTGTTGCGCCTGGTGCAGTCAAAAACCTCTTAGAGTTGAGATACTGAAGGAATAAAGTTGAAAATACAGTAGGTGAGGTTTGGAGAATGGGTTACTTGAACATGGTATTATGGAGGGGTTGCAGTTGCTAATGATGAGATCTAGGCTGGTATGACACGGGAGTGGATGAAAGGTAAAGTGAAGGGCAAACCCGTTAGAGGTGCAGAGGTCAAGGAATCATGAAGCAATTATTAATGGATTGATTTTTTTGAAAATTAAAATCACCAAGGATCATAACAGAAATAGTGTTGGATAGAGCAACAGTGAGACAAACGCTAAATGATAACCTGAGAATCTCTAACAGAGAAGAACTGTAGGTGGTATAATGGATACCTGATCCATTCTTGGGCCCAATGAGTATAATGGGTATGGGAGTGAAGAAAACAGCCACCCCATGGAGGAATATGGGGGAACCCAAATTTCAGTTAGAGCAAGAAGGTGGAGGGGCCTCTAGAGAAGAGCTGGTTGATAAACTGTATTTTGCTGATGTAGAACCATGAGTCCTTGAGGGCCCTGGGGGAGGTTTGAGGTGCTGGCAAAATGATGGAAGATGGGGTCCCTTTAGGAAATGTGCAGATGTATAGGGAGGGGGGGAATCCTGGTGATGACAGGTTATCTGGGAGTCCTAAGCTTCTAGCAGTGACTGAAACTCACAGACATGGAGGGCATGATGAGGGTAGTGCTGAGCATCCTCCAGGCAGAGTGTGATGGAAGGCCATCAGTGCTGAGGAGGAACCAGGAGGGCAGGCAGAGCCCTGCCTCGCTCCCGTCCCCTGCCCCTATTTCCACCATTCCTACTGGTTGTGGCTGAATTCCTTTTAAGAAAAGTTTACAGTTAAGGACTAAGGAATCTTAGAATGTTAAGAATAGCATTGGGTATTATCTCCAATATTATAAATGTGCAACAATTATATCACATTGTAATATATCACATCGCATCATATGATGTCATATCTTATCACATAGTTCTATAGTCAACAATGATTTACATTGTCTGACGTACTAAATTTTTAAATCCTTTTGACATTAAACACTTTCCAATTAAAGAATGTAAATAGTCCCTAGATATTGCTATTGACAATCTCCAAACCGTCTACAAATCCTTTCTCAAATGTTGAGATTAATTTATAGAAAAACATGCTGAAATTGAAAACTAAGCTGTTGAAACCAAAACAAACCAACCCCAAAGCTGTCAGTGCTGTCTGAGACGTGGTGCTTCTCTTGCCCCCTGGGGCTGTGCAGTACACAGTCTGCGCAACTCAGAGTGAAGACTCTGACTACCAGTTGCGAAGTTGTAATTATGATTTTACCAATTCTGTTCAACCAGAAAAAAATCGAGAATTAGAGTGGATGCTAAAACTAATCACGAGACTGCCACTGTCGTCTGTATTTGCGTATTCATCAAAATAGCCCAATTTCTCTTAATTGATTGATGCAAATTTGATTGTAAAAAGTAAACTTAAATGAATAAACTCTTGTCTGTTTTACATATAGTGGTCTCATCCAATATAAGATTTTATTTGAAAAATGATCGCAGTTTTTAAAATATTTGAAAACTTCCACAGAATATTAGAGATCCCATGCTAAGTCAACAGACATTCTATTAAAAAAATAATTGCAAGTGATATTTTCTTCACAAATATTGTAAACAATATTTGTAAACAATCATTGTGATATAAATGACATTTACATTATTTGAATTCTTACATACAATCTGCATTTAAGAAGGTAACGTTCCTACCCAGGCAGAGCAAGGAAGTCACTGACAGATTGTCTGAGCTGGGAGCACATAACCTTTAACCTGGGCACTACTTCACATGTAGAATTTCTGGGTAATCTCTGCCTTGATGTATATTGTCTAATGAACGGGAAAACTCATAGTGTTATTTTATAATTCAATATCAGCATATACTTGAGATACTATTCAACGTTATTAAATAGGCATTTTACTACAGAAGTTTGTTCCCCTTTGATGTGTTACTGAGAAAACAAATTTGTAGGACTTTTGTTTTTTCTCCATTTTAACACAAGGGGGCATTATGTGTGTTTCTTGAACAAAGTTAAATGCATTCCTTCATTGTTAAATTAAAAATATTATGTATGCCATGTTCAAATTATTTGGAGAAATGCAGTTCTAGAGCAATGTTCATCAAAGTTCTCTTTGTAAACAACACACACACTTTATTTTTTTTAATAATGTGCAAGCAGTGCTTCATGATCAGCAAAGCACTTCTTTTTCTTTTAAAGATTGGCACCTGAGCTAACATCTGTTGCCAATCTTCTTTTTTTTTCTTCTTCTCCCCAAAGCCCCCCAATCCACAGTCATATATTCTAGTGGTGGGTCCTTCTAGTTGTGGCATGTGGGACGCCACCTCAGCACGGCCTGATGAGTGGTGCCATATCCGCTCCCAGGATCTGAACTGGAGAAAACCTGGGCTGCTGAAGCAGAGCATGTGAACTTAACCACTTGGCCACGGGGCCAGCCCCAGCACTTTAATTTATTAAAAATTCTATGCACATATGACTGTGTTAATTTTAAGACAACATAATGCATAATAAAAAATTAAAAGATGGAATCATAATTAGAAACGTTTTCTCTTGGAGTCGTGTTGGACACCCATCCGTGCTGTGTAGAGTCTTCTTTGGAGACCAGAGTTGACTTAAATGAAAACAGAGCCAGAATTACCAGAGCTAAACTCTCTGAGGTGCCTGAAGTATCAGGTGCTGATGTAAATCACACCACAAGAGGGCAGTGATGGACAGACACAGGATCTGGGGGCAGGCGAGGCCCTCCCTTTCACAGGCTAGCAGTGTGGCTTTCAACGTGTTTCTGAGCCTCATCTTAGACATTTTAAAATGGAAACAACAAAATCAATAATGACAATACATACAAAGTTGCTTTATTAAAGATAAAATGAGACCCTGTTTGAAAATTGTTTCTAAATTGTAAAGGGCTGTATAAAATATTTATTTTCAGTAAATTAGAGGACCATTGCCTACTGATCTCTTTTGCATTTTTCCTGATGTGTTTATGTTCACATTTCTCTTTGCCTTTTGTTCTAGCTGGCATTTTTCTGGTTTATTTTCCTTTTCTGAACTTTTTCGTTCCTGTTTGTGTTTCTGTCTCCTTAACTGGTCATATCTAACAATGCTTGCTAACGCTGTGCCCGAATTCTTCCAGGGGCCTGAAGTGCTCTGTGCTGTGTCATCCTCACAGCAGCTCTCTACTAGAGCACCGTCTATGTTCATTTTACAAAGTAGGAATCTGAGGCTGAGTCATTTGTTCAAAGTCACAGAGATGCTAAATCATAGAAGCCAGCTTTGAGTCCAGGTTATTTGACTGTAGTAGTGGGTCCAATCAGGAGATAGAAACCAACCAGTAAGTTAGACAGGGGGGGGTGGGGGGGGTGGGGGGTGGGGGGGGAGGGGAGTTTCAGATAAGAATAAAAGAAAGAAAGAGGCTGAGGGAGAATACCCAAAGAATGACAAACTTGAAGGGGTCCATGTGATTGTAAAGGTGTGGTTCAGCCACCATCTAGTAGAAGAGTTCTCTGGTTCAGCCAGACCAGAGCTGGGCTGAAGTTGCTGGAAAATAGGCCACCTTCCCAAGGGCAAGGCAGTGGGGGGGACACATCAGGAACCCATGGTGGCCTGCGTGTGAGTGGGAGTCCCGGTTCTGCCTTGAGGGCAGAAGGCCTTCAGAGGAGGCTTGGAGAGGCACCAGCAGCTCTGTGTGGACAACCCCCACCCACCTTCATACAGGAGTCTGTGTGCATCAGGCCCCATGGGGGCTTTGGTTTCAGGGATGAGAGGGCTGTGAAAGGTCATGCTCGCGTGGAGGCACAAGGCGGCAGAGGAATCCTGCACCGGGCGCACGGCTGGGGCAGGCACCATCAGATATCGTCACACTGTCCTGGTCCCCTCTGTAGTGGAAACTGCAGGAAGTTTCTTCCTCCCACAATGTCCCTCCAGCCTCCTCTATGGAGAAAGTTTAACATCGTGCTCACTTCAAAGGAGAAATGCTTAAAGGGATTTCTGTTTATCATAGACCTTATAATAAATCGTGCTTTTAATAAATTGATAACTGACGTACTGGCTCTTTCTCTTACACACACACACACTCACACACACACACAATGCCACAGAGACTTCTCTTTCTCTGACAAATGGACTGCATCACTGTCCTGAAAGGACTGTTGACAGAGACAATGACTCGAAGTCATTAAATCAACTGAAGAGGTTTTAAAAAAACAAATTCAGCTGGGTAAATTTGAAGATTTGCTTGGGTTAACTAAAGAACTCCCTTTGTCCTTCAGGAGAGAAGAAACCAAGAGGAGTCCAGCTGTCAGGCCAGCAGGGAGCGCTGGTGAGTAAGTCATAGTCACAGAATCTTGGGACGACGTGTCACAGAGGCTTGCTTTGAACATCAGAATCTTGGCACTGGGAGGGAAGACAAAGCATTTGGCTCAGAAGACTTTGGCTTCTGATAGTCATGGATTCACTAGGCTGCTGAGGGAGGGTCATAACCTGTTGGAACCATTTTTCGTGAGAACCTGAGCATGGAGACTGTGAATTGAGACGAGACCAAGAGAAGTGACAAGACCAGGTACCCCTTTTCTTTTGGATCCTCTCTTCATGACTTTTTCATTCATTTATTCATTCATTCCTTACTTATTCAGGCCCACATAGTGTCATACAGTGTGTTAGATGCTGAAAACAGTGGCCAGCAGGATAGCAAGGATGTCTGTGCTCATGAAACTAACAAACTAGAGGAGAAGTCAGACAATCAGGGAAATCATAATTATGACAAAAACATAATGAGAGATACAAGGAGGCCCAAGAAGGTATATCAGGGACACCAACCCTATGGGTTAGGGAAGCTTTTCTGAAGGGAGTGATGTTCAAGCTGAGATTTCAAGTTGAGTAACACGTGGTGAGGGTGGGGGATGGGAGCCAGGGAAGGGCGTTCCAGACCATGGGAAGAGTACCTGCCACGACCAGACAGAGGCAGCTGGAATTTAGCAGAGGTCTGCTCTGAGCCAGTCTGACAATCATGAAAGGAACAGTGGCTGGAGGTGAGGCCAGGCTGGTGGGCTGAGGTCAAAGACAGGTCAGCCTTGCCAAGACCTTAGGGGTCTTGGATCCTGCTCTGTATTGATCCTCACAGAAACAGAACAGTAAGAAGACCCTAGAAGGTGGCCCTGGCTCTGTCACAAGTGTCATGACAAGGTCTGGCAGGCATCCTTGGGGCAGGCTATGTGGGAGGAGGGGCACAGAGCCAGGAGAATCTTGACCTACGGAGGAGAAATTGCCTTGCGGGAGGCAAGGTGGTCCAGCAGGCAAGTGTACTAGGCAGGAGCCAAGGTTCTGAAGGCAGGTAAAGGAGGGTAAACTACACCTGGATTAAAGCAGCAGCACCAGTCACGGGATCTGTTACAAGGGACATCTGCTAGTTAAAGGGGCACAGACACCATTCACCAGGCAGCAAGACAATGGAGACAGCGATGACTCAGGAGGCAAGGGACCTGAGCGAACTGTCATTTCCCTCCCTGTGCCACAGTGCACAAGACTGATTCCTAACCTACTCTCCATCTTTGACGTGGCAAGTGCCGCCCCACCCTCCCCAATTTGGGACCTGTTCCTGGGATCTGCCCACAGAGGACGTGCTTGGAGGGGGTATCTGTGCGAGCAGCCAGGTGAACCCCTGGACAGGTACTCTGGGTGCCCTCTGGTCACCAGGATGAGAAATGCTTCTGTAGAAACAGCCCAGCCCAGACTTGGAAGGATGGAGCCCAGCACACTGGACTTCTAAGTGGACGGGAGGCTTGGCACCATCGTTTCAGGGGCACTCATCTTCAGGGGGAGATAGGTAAACTGCAGACACAGAGGAGGACAGAAAGAGAGAGAGAGAACGAAAGACAGTGCTAGAGACAGAGACAGAGAGGAGAAATCAATCCTAAAGGAGGCATTCACAGACAGAGGAAAGCAGCAGAAAATGTAAAAAGAGGTGTGCTCCTCCCCCTCCTCTCCGCCTCTCAGAGCCTGGACTCAGGTCTGGCGCCCAAGGGTGCAGATTCAGACAACAGGGAGACAGAGGCAGACGCCAGGCTCCCTGCACACACACACACACACCAAACAGCCCCCTGCGGTGGCCGGGCGCCCAAGCACACACACTTTCTGTCCAACAGCTTTGAAGACCGCAAAGGAGGCAGAGAGAGAGGCTCCTATGGCCCTTTTCCCTCCCTCCTGTTCCACATTTTTGCGCTCATGTCTCTGTTCTATTTTCATGTTTGGTATGTATCTGCCCTTTGCTCTGCCTCTCTCCTTCCTCTTCCCTCCCAGGCAAGTCAGGGCATCAGCCAGGCAGATCTCTGCCACCTCAGCCTCTTTGCAGTGTCTCTTGACCTGGAGGGAGGGACTGCGTGACTTGTCCCCTGCTCCTCACCTTCAGGAAAACTGGTCCAGCATCGTGTTCCTAAAAATAAGAAGAAACCTCTTCCCAAATGACAGAGTTAATTCCTGAGTAACTGGCAAGCATAGAGTCACAAATGAATTGAGGCCAACACCATACCCCGGAAGTCACTTTCCCCTCACGGCTAGAGCCTGCTCCTGACCCAGTTGAGGCTGCAGCCCAAACAGCCAGGGATTTAGGAGTGTGGAGGGTGTAGACCCCGTGGGAGAGGCCTTGTGAGGTGACCCTGCCTCCTCAAATCTCTTTCATGCCAGGTGCTCTAGTTCAGGAGATTCACAGCATAATGGACCCCCAGGGGAATTACCACAGTCTGCCACTCAGACAGCAGGAACAGCACAGTGACAGCCTCCTCAGGCACATGCCAGGGGCTCCTTCCCACAGAGAAAGTCCAAGGCAAGGTCCTGATACTTTCAGAAGCTGAGGTGGAGAAAGGCTGGCCTGGAGCAGGGCCACAGCTGGTCAGTTTGAAAGTTACTGTATCCAGTGGGTGGAGGTGTCAGCCACACCCGGCTCAGTGGGACTCGGCTTAGACAAACCAGCTGATTGAGGTGGATCCCCAGATGAAAAGGGTTCAGGTTAAGAGCCAGACATCCATCATCTTGAGATAGTCAAGGCCCTGGATCTACAGCAAAGTAGGTCATCTGACAGGTATCCTTCAGGAACTACCTAATTTGGGAATTCTGTATGACTTCAGTGAACCAAAGCTGCCTTCAATGGCAAGGAGGGGATGAGAAGACTTTCCATCCCACTCAGGTAACCCTCAGGAAGTCTTTGTTGTGAGGGGGACTTGTGGTTCCTATTCCTAGGGGTCCCACCATCCTCAGGACACAGAAAAGAACAGAACAAAAAGATGAGAGAGATGGATTTCTAAGCATCAAGTGGAATATTTGGAGCAGGGCTGGGAGGGAGTGGCAGGAGGGCAGGTCAGGGATGGGACGGAGGACGTGGAAGGGGCCACTGGCAGGAAGGACTGAGGCCAGAATACAGCATACAGGCTCCAATTTGAAAGTCTAATGAACAAGTACAAAGAAATTTCCATTTGGATCAGCCATCATCAGAAACCTCAAAAGTTGTTCCTTCCTTGTGTTTGTGGTTCAGCACGGACACACAATACACACACGTGGGTACGTGTACACAGGCACACACAGATGTAGGGGTAGGTTTGCCTTGTGGAAAGCCCACAGGGAGTAACTGGTTCGGTTTAAAAACCAGTTTGGACCAGAGACTTGGTGCTGGAGGCCAGAGGGTGGTGGCAACTTCACCTGAGCAGTGTCACTCCTGAGCAGTCCCACACCCATCCTCCTCCACCTGGGTGACAGGACTCTGACAGACCTGGGGTTTCCCCAGTGTGGGTGTGTGGCCTTGTGGGACGAGCCCCCAGCTGGGGGTACATACTCATTTCCCTTCCTTCCACAAAAGCCCTCAAGGATGGATGACTCCCCGGGTCGCTCTCCCTGCTGATTCCTGGCCACTTCTAGACCCCCTGTTCTGCTCTGGGGACTCGACAGTGGTTTTTATCCACATGCCATAGGAGGGACGGGGCAGAAACCAGAGAGGGGCTGCCCCAGGGGTCACATATAGTGGGGCCCAGGCCTAGGGACCTTGCCAGGATAACTTGGATTTCCTGGGCGGAAGGAAGGCAGGTTACTAAGAAACAAAGAAAGGGTTGTTTTGGTTTTTCCTACTCCTAGAAGAATCAGGAAATTACAAAAGTCCTGAATGGTTGAGTCTGAGGACACCTGTAAAGTCCAGCTCACTCCTCCAATCCCAACACTGGCCCTGTGCAGAGGAAGAGATAAAAGCCCAGAAGGATGAGGAGAGCTGCCCCTGCCCCGTGGCTTGGAGTTGTAAAGCCAGGCCTGGGACTCGGCCAGCGATGCCAAGAGCAACGCTCTTTCCACTCCCTGTTGCTGTAAGGGCCCCCACAGCAGCTGACCCTCTATGGGCTGAGAAGCGTGGAGTGAGGATGGTGCATTCAGGAAGGGTGTGACAGTTGGTCACTCCATGTGTAAGTTGGTCACGACTCGTGCAAGATTCGTGTTGCCACTCCCTGGGTGCCACATTAGAGACCAGAACCAGCATGTGCTCTGAGCTGGCATAGAACCTGGCTTGAATCCACTTAGGAACAACTAAGATTAACCTCTGAACTTCAGTTGTTCTCCTATGTAAAATGGGGTAAAAATGCTGACTTCTTAGGCTGGCTGTGACTGTTCATGAGAATGACCACAAACAATGTTTGTGACCATTATCATACTGGACTCAGACTCAGGCTACTAAAGGTCACACTCTTCATTAGCTAAGAGACCTTAAGCACATTTCTTAGATCTTCTGGTCTTTGCATTTCTATCTGGAAAATCGCTCCCTAGTGAGGAACTGACAGACTGACACATGTGAAGGCACAGAATTGTGGGTCTGCTCTGCCCTCTGAGGCATCCAGCCCGGCTTTCCCAGTCCTGGTCTGAATCATCACTCTAAAGGTGGATGTACTTGAGGGCCAAAGAAAGGGGGATGAAAGCAGACAGCCAGCTTTCCTTCTGAGAATGTTGTTCTCTTTTTCCAGGACCTCCCAAACTCCGGAAGATGTGTGACCAACCAAAATGCAACCCATGCTGCCAGCCCAAACCCCAGTGTTGCATTCAGCCCAAGTGCTGCGCTCAGCCCAAGTGCTGTGCTCAGCCCAAGTGCTGCACTCAACCCAAGTGCTGCGCTCAGTCCAAGTGCTGCTGTTTGGAGCCTAAGCCCGAGTGCACGTGCCTGAATAAGGAGGCTGAGCCCGCGTCACCCCAAACACTGAATGAGAGCTCCCAAACCCAAAAGCAGACTCAAAGTCCAAAACAGGGGCCCAAGCCAGGTACCCGGGTGCAGACAAAGCCAAGCAAGTAGGTTGCCCCAAACAAGAAGATGGGCCATGCCATTACCGGTGGGGTCAGGCTAGACCTACATTTAGAAAAGCTGTTTCTCATTGACCACCATTTACTCCCAACCAGTAGCCCCTATTTCCCTTCATAGCCACCTCCGCACCTTAGGGAGGCCCCCAACTGGAATGGAAGGTTGAAGAGACTAGAATCATCTTTCCTGGTGATCCTGACATTAGATAGCACAAAAATAAAAGAGCAATAAAAAGAGTGTTTCCTGTGTTTTCTCTTTAACCTGTCAAACCATCTCACCTGTCTGGCATAAGTCCAAGAAAATGTTCTGGGCATGACATAAAGGGCTGAAGAGCCAGAAAACCGGAGTCAAGAAGCACAGGGCCTCTGCTGAGGCAGAGTTAGGATGACTGATTGTCCTGGGTTTAAAATGAAAGTCTTGCATTCCAGGACCCCTCCAGTCCCAGGCAAAGGGTGGCGGTTATTCACCCTAAGTGCAAGAATTCCAGTGTCCCTGGGTCCCTGAATACCACATTTGAGACCAGAACAAGCAAGAGCATGTCCCTAGGAAAGATTCCCCTCCCCCGTCCCATAGATTTTGGGTGGAGGTAGAGCTCTGAGGAGCAAGCAAAGCTCCGTGACTGTCACAGGCAGTGCAGTCTTAGGGCATCAGTGCTGGTTCTTCAGTCCTAGAGCAAGTCATTCAACCTCTCTCAAGCGCCATTTCCTCATCTGTAAAAAGAGGGTAATGGTACTTCAAAGGATTTTTATGAGAATCCCCATTTGGGATAATTCATTTAAAGCGCTTAACATAGGGTCTGACATACAGCAGATATGGAATCCATGGTTTTCCTCAAACTTTTCTGTCACCAGGTCCTTATTTTCCTCCAAAGTAGCCAGCATGCTCCAATAATTTGTCCCCAAAACACACCTCCATTAATACAGGTGGGCAGGTAGAAATATAGAAATCAGCCTCATTCACCATACTTGAAAACTTCAATTTTTACTGCTTTTTGGGTATATAATTGACACATCCAACACCTCTAAAATTCTTCTTATGCCCCTTTGTGTCCTCCCTCATAATTCTCCCTGCCTACTCATCCCCAGAACACAATTGGTCTACTTTTGGTCCCTATTAATTGGTCCAAGAATTTTATATAAGTGGAATCATCCAGTAGGTATTCTTTTATGCCTGGCTTCTTCCACTCAGCAAAACTACTTTGAAATTCAAACAAGTTGTTGCATGAATCAATTGTTCATTTTTACTGCTGAGTAGTAAATGCCCTTATTGTACGGATATGTACCACATTTTGTTTATCCATTAATCTTTTGATGGGCATTTGGATTATTTCCAACTTTTGCCTATTACAAATGAAGCTGCTGCGAACATTCATGACAAGTCTTTGGATGGACACATGCTTTCATTTCTCTCAGGTAAAGACCTAAGAGTAGATTGACTGTATATAGTAGGCATATATTTTACTTTTTAAGAAACTGCCGAAGTGTTTTCCCCAAAATGGTGATGCCATTCACTTTCCTGCTGGAAGTAAATTGGAATTCCAATTGCTGCACGTCTTTGCCAACATTTTACATGCTCACTTTTTCTATTTTTAGATGTTTTAATAGATATGTAACATTATTTTGTTGTGACTTTAATTTGCATTTCCTTAATGGCTAATGATATTGAGCATCTTTCCATGTGCCCTCATATCTCCGTGTATCTTTGGTGAATTATCTGATCAGATACTTCCTCCATAATTTTACTGAATTGTTTGGTTTCTTGCTATCAGATTCTGAGGGGTTTTTTAAAATATGTTCTTGATACAAATCTTTTATCAGATAAATTATTTGTATATATTATCCCCAGTTTGTGGCTTATCTTTTCATTCTCTTAAACAGTTTCTTTCAAAGAGGAGTCTTTAATTTTGATAAAATCCAATTAATCAAATTTTTTTCTTTTATAGATCTTGTTTTTGGTGTCATATCTAAGAAATCTTTGCCTAATCCTAGGACATAAAGGTTTTCTCTTATGTTTTCTTTTATAAATTAATTACTTTATAAATAGTGACAAGTATGGACAAAGGGGTTTTTTTGGAGGGGGGCAGGACTTTGGAGGGGAGCGTATGGATATATAATTGTTCCAGACTATTCTTTCTCTACTGAATTATCTTTGCATCTTTGTGAAAAATCAACTGGCCATATTTGTTTGTTTTTATCTCTGCATTCTTGTTTTGTTACATTAATCAATTTGTCTATCCTGACACTACTGTCTTATTTACTGCAGCTGTATAATAAGTCTTAAAGTCAGATATGTAAGTACTCTAATTTTGCCTTTTTGAAAGTTGTGTTCGCTAGTTTAGGTCTTTTGTATTCCGTATGAATTTTAGAATAAACTTGCCAATTTCTTTCTTTTTTTTTTTTTTAAAGATTTTATTTTTTCCTTTTTCTCCCCAAAGCCCCCCGGTACATATAGTTGTGTATTCTTCGTTGTGGGTTCCTCTAGCTGTGGCATGTGGGACGCCGCCTCAGCGTGGTCTGACGAGCAGTGCCATGTCCGCGCCCAGGATTCGAACCGACGAAACACTGGGCCGCCTGCAGCGGAGCGCGCGAACTTAACCACTCGGCCACGGGGCCAGACCCTAAACTTGCCAATTTCTACCAAAAAAAAAGCCTACTGAGATTTTTTTACTGGGATTGAATTAAATCTATAGATTAAAATTGGAGAATGGACAGTTTAATAATATTGAGTCTTTCAATTCATGAACATGGATCATCCCTCCATTTATTTATCTATTCTTTAATTTTTCTTAGGTTTTGTAGCTTCCAGTGAACAATTTTGCACATATTTTGTCATATTTTCCCTAAGCATTTCATATACTTTGATCATATTGTAAACGATATTTTTAATTTCCATTTCTGATTCACTGTTAGTGTATAAAAATTCAATTATTTTTGTATATTAGTCTTATATACTGCTTATTAGTTTCAATAGCTTCTTGTAACTCCATAGGATTTTCTACATATACTATCAGGTCATCTGAGCACAAAGAGAGTTTTACTTTTTCCTTTCCAATCTGGATGACTTTTACGTTTTTCTTTCCTGCCACTTGAGGATGTTCCTTCTCTTCGGACGTTGTCAAGAGTTTTTAACAAAAATGGATGTTGGATTTTGAAAAAATACTTTTTATGTGTATATTGAGATGATCATACAATTTTTCTTTTTTAGTTTATTAATATGGTGAATTACACTGATTGATTTTTGAATGTTGAAATAACCTTGCATTCCTGAGATAAACCTTATTTGATCAGGTTGTTTAATCCTTTTTACACGTTCTTAGATTTGATTTGCTAAAATTTTGTTAATAAGTTTTACCTCTGTGTTATTGAGGAGTATTGCCCTATAGTTTTCTTTTCTTGTAATGTATTTGTCTGTTTTGGGTATCAAAGTTTTTCAAATTATTTCCTCTTGAGTGAACTTTGCTAGTTTTTGTCTTTTAAGAAATTCATCCACTTTATCTGTTTCTAAATTTGTTGGCATAAAGTTATTTATAGTATGTCCGTATTATTTTTTAATACTCATAGAATTTACGGTAAAGTGAACTCTTTCATTCCTGATATTGGTAATTTATGTCTTTTTTTCCTGTTCAATCTGGCTAATATTTTCATTAATTTCATCAATCTTCTTAAAGAACCAGCTTTTTGTTTCATTAATTTTCTATTTCATTGAGGTCTGATCCCATCTTTATCATTTCCTTTCTTTTGCTTACTTTGGGTTTAATTTGTTCTTCTTTTTTCTAGTTTTCAAGAGGAAAGCCAAGGCCATTAATTTGAAATCTTTCCTCTTCTAATATGGCCATTTACTGCTATGAATTTTCCTCTATTGTTTCAGCTACATTCAAAATTTTTTATATGTTTTCTCCCTTGCTAGTTCAAAAGACTTTTTTAATTTCCTTTTTGATCTATCCCTTGGATCCATGAGTTAGTTATAACTGGGTTTTATTTTTTTTCCCCCAAAAATGTTGGGAGATTTCCAAAGGATCTTTCTGTTATTTCTAATTTTATTCCTCTGTAGTCAATAGTCAAATAACATACTTTGCATGACTTGAATCCTTTTAAATTTATTGAGACTTGTTTTATGAACTAGAGTATGCTCTATTTTGTAAATGCTCCATGTGCACTTGAAAAGAAGATGCACTCTGCGTTGTTGCATGCACGCGGTATAATGTCGATTAGGCTAATGTGTTTGGCAGCATGAGTTAAGTCTTCCACATCTCTACTGATTTTATGGCCACTTGTTTTATCAAGTATTAAATGAGTCGTGTTGAGACCTCTGATCATAACTGTGACTTCTTCTATTGTTTCTTGTAATTCTAACAATTTTGCCTCATATATTTTGAAAATCTCTTATTAGATGCATAAACATTTAGACTTTATTATAGCCTGTTTATAAATTGCTTCTTAATTATTAAAAAATGAACTTCTTTATCGCTGGTGATATTTTTTTGCTCTAAAATCTACTTTGAAGTCAATTTAGCCACCTCAGCTTTTTTTTGATTGATAGAAGCAAGACATTTCTTTTTCTATCACTTTAATTTTAACCTATTTGTGTCTTTATATTTAAAATGCATGCCTTCTAGACAACAGATAGTTGAATATTTTTTACTCAACCTGACAATCTCTGCCTTTTAATTGGAGTGTTTATATCAATACTTTTCAAGTGATTATTGATATGGTTGAGTTTAAATGTACCATCTTGCTATTTGTTTTCTATGTCTCACCTATATTCTGTATTCTTTTGCCTCTTTCTTACTTTTGTAATGATTCTTTCATGTAGTCCCATTTCATCCCATTTATTGACTTATTCTCTAAGATTCTGTTGCATAGTCTTGGTGGTTACATTAGGATTTATTGTATAGATCTTTAACTTAGCATAGTTTACCTTCAGGTCATACCACTCCACTTACAGTATAAGAACCTATAAACAGTTACTTCCATTTCTTTTCTTCCGAACTTTGTGCTACTATTGTGATGCATATTTTTTCCATGTATGATAAAAACCTCATAATATATTGCTCTCAATTTTGCTGTAAATAATCACTTATTCTTCAAGTACGTTCAAAAAGCAAGCAAAAGTCTTTTGTTTTTATCCATGTAGTTACTATTTGGAGTGCTCTTTCTTCCTTTGTGTGGATCCATAATTTCATTTTACATAATTTTCCTTCATCCTAAAGGACTGCCTCTTAACATTTCTTATAGTTTAG